CCAGCCCAGGGCCTGCTTCACATTCATTCACACAGGCGGCCCAGGGCCTGGGTTCACTCAACCAACTGGCGCTGCGCAACTGCCTGAATTTCCCTAAGTTGCGTGGTGGCCAGAAAAGGGCCCTGAGGGCCTCGTCGAGCCTGCCTTCACTTAGGGCGGCCGACGGGCTGCAAAAATGGGGCCTTATGGGGCTCATAGAGGCAATGGCCTGGCATTCCCTCCTCCTCAGCTTCAACAGTCCTTTGAAAAGCTCAGTCTTCGATCATAGGGCGCTTTCCCTTCTGCAGAGATCTCTCGTATTGGGTTACAACTTGAGGAGCGGTCTGCATGAGCTCTTCCCTGGTGAACCAGCGGTCCTCCTTCGGATCAGTGTGATGCCGGAACCGAACGTGGTACTGCAGCTTCGGTTTTGGAGGACGTCCCCGGCCTGCTGGTCTTGATACCGGCAGCTCTCTGTGATCCACAATATCATCGATGTCCACCTCTCCGTCCATGGTTGGGGGCAGCATTGAGCGACGAGATGGAAACTGATCAGTCTCTTTAAAAGGTGCCAGTTTGGAGGCGTGAAAGACAGGGTAAGTACGGAGATGACCAGGTATCCGGATAACATAGGATGGCCCATCCGGATCTGTCCCAACGATATCCAAGACTTCCCAGGGTCCAGAGTACTGGGGCATGAGTTTGCAGGAAATCCCGCGCTCTTGTCCCAGTTCCGACGACTTAACCCAGACCCTATCCCCAACCGGAAATGTAGAAGGCCGGCGGTGTCTACTTTCAGACTCTATCATTGCAGCCTGCGCCTTCTGCATTTGTTCTACAGCCTGCTGCATCTTCTGTTCATAGCGGTAAGCAAATTCCAAAGTACCTGGTGCAGCAGTGGTTTGATTCTCACGAAGAAGAAAGTCTAGGTGTAGTCTAGGCTTGAATGTTAGCAGTAAGTTGTTGGGGCTCACCCCGGTGGCGTTGTGTACAGCGTTGTTGTACAAGCTGGTGATGAGAGCAAGCTTCTCATCCTAGTCCACCTGGTTGGGCTTGATGTAATGCCTCAACAGGTGTTGCACAACGCGGTTCAGTTGCTCAGCCTGACCGTTGGCCTCTGGGTGATTCCCAGAAGTCATCTGCAACTGAGTTCCCTGTTCTGCAGCAGCGGCCTTCCACAACTCACTAGTGAACTGGACATCTCTGTCACTAATAATAGACTTTGGTAGACCAAAGTCCCTGACCCAGTTTTCTTTAAACATTCTAATCACATACTCCGTCTTTGCTGTTTCCGGCATGGCTATTAACCTAGCATACTTACTAAATCTATCCACGATGACGAAGATGTGACGCATCCCACTCTTGCTGGTAATCAGAGTATCCATGAAATCCATGGACAGACTCTCACCAGGCCATTCCGGAATCGGAAGGGGCTTCTGAAGCCCAAGAGGAGCCTGAGTACGTGGCTTGTCCCGTTGACAAACTTGACAAGTCTCCACGTACAGCTGAGCATCTCGCATCATCGTGGGCCACCAGAACCGCTGCAGCAGGTTGGCTGCGGTCTTTTTATACCCAAAATGGCCGGTGGCATCATGACACTCGCCTAAAAACAAAGTACACAAAGACTCGCTACTTGGGACACACAATCGTTTATTCCCGTCCTTCTCAAGGAACAACAATCCATTGACCAACTCAAACTCAGCAGAGGTCTTCTTGTCCTTTGCTTGGAGTCTGCCTATGATCTCAGACATGAACTGATCCTCGCGATAGGCATCCACCAAAGAGCGAGTAACATTGTCCGTGAGATCGAACTCAGTAATCAGCGCACCTGAAAAGTCAGGTCTACGCGACAAGGAATCAGCCACCTTATTGTACTCCCCTTTGAGATACTGGGGGTCGAAGTCATATTGCTCAATGACTTCGATCCAACGCTTCAGAGCGTCCGATAGTACGGGCTGAGTTCTCATCCATCTCAGGGTCTGATGATCAGTCCTGAAGATGAAGAATCTCCCTAGGAGATAGTGTCTCCAATGGGTCAGAGCCTTGTACACTGCGTAGAGTTCCTTCTCGTAGGTGGACTTTGCCAACTTCTGAGACGACATCTTTTTCGACATGTACTCGACTGGCCTCAACTTTGGCCCCTCCTGCTGCGCGAGCACGGCGCCAATGCCATATTGGCTGGCATCCGTAGTGACTATGAACGGCTTGTGAGGATCAGGAAGTTTCAAGACTTCATAGTGCGTCAACACATGCTTCAGATGTCTGAAAGCAGCCTCGCACTCATCTGTCCACTCCCACGGGGTGTCAAGGCGGGTCATATCGGTCAAAGGAGCGACCACTATGCTATAGTTTTTTACAAAAGTTTTGTAGTAGCCTGTCATTCCTAAGAAAGATCTCATCTCAGTCACAGACTGAGGACGTGGCCAATCACGAATGCTGGCCACCTTCGCGTCATCAGGCTTCAACCCTTCCGCGGAGATCTCATGACCCAAGTACAAGACAGGGGTGCGGTCAAACTCGCACTTCTCACCGTTGATCTTGAACTTGTGCTGTCGCAGGAGACTGAGGACTTTGTCCAAATGTGCAACATGCTCCTCGACAGTCTTACTAAAAATAAGTATGTCATCGAGGTACACGATGACAAACTTATCCAAGTAGTCATGGAATATCCGATTCATAGTGTGTTGAAAGGTGCCAGGAGCATTGCAAAGGCCGGAAGGCATCACCACAAACTCGTACCGACTGTACCCGGTCTGAAAGGCGGTTTTGTGTTGATCCTCGGGCCGGATTGCAATCTGATGGTACCTGGACTTCATATCTATTTTACTGAAGTACCGACACCCTTGCACTCTATCTAGCAAATCGTCGATGCACGGTAGGGGCTCTCTGTTCTTTACAGTGATGGCATTGAGGCCCCTATAGTCAATGCACATCCTAAGAGTATCCTCCTTCTTCTTAGGCACAAATAGAACTGGAGACCCATAAGGAGAGACACTCGACCAGATCCAACCCTTCTCTACGAGTTCCTTGAGTTGGCGGCGAAGCTCATCAAGCTCGTCTGGAGACATCCGATAGATCCTACCCTTCGGAATACTAATCCCTCTATCTCCGGGCATTTTCACCGGCTCGCCTGCAGCAGAGACATAGACTTAATACATACCCTCCTCCTGATTTTGCTTATAATACTTGTAGAATGCGGCCGCACACATGCACCCATAGGACTCAATCAGACCACTAGCTTTGAACTTATGTAATCTGGCGGTCCCTCCACCTGGCATGTTGTGTTTGACCACTTTTCGGTCCCAGTCAAACTGGGGCTGTGCTACAGAGAGGTAGTACATACCTAGTAACATGTCCATTGGGAGCTCGTCACTCACTAGGAACGAGACACGATGTCTCAAGTCCCCTCCCGCGTACGGGAAACAACACTCTACATCTTGGAGGTAGTCATTGACTACCATGTGCTGTTTGTTGGCACAGGTCGACTCCACAGGTCGACTCAGGCACTGCACTCGCCCCTGTAAACGCAGCCGTTCAACGCACACGCGATTAATAAAGTTCCTAGTCGAGCAAGTGTCATAATAGGCCCCGGCCTGGCGGCCGCCAATGACAACCTCGTTGACGAACATCTCACTCTTCGGGGCTTTGACTAGTGCCGTCCAAGAAGCTAGCGGGTCTGATCTAGACCACTCTACCTCTAACTCCTCTAAGGACTCAAACACATTCATCGAACAGAGGCTCGATGGGTCTGAATGTGTTTGCGGGAGGACGCTGGAGTCAGTAGCTTGGGCCATCTCTCGAGATGGTGAGGGTGTTTTCATCACCTCGACCCTAGCAAGAACAACTATTATTCCTACTGGCCCTACGTGTTTCCCGGAGCACTGTCAGAAGTACTAGCAACATTGCTTCCAACGGGATTAGAGGATCCCAGCACTTGCCCCATCGTAGGCGGGATCTTTTCTGTCACTTTCTTGTTGCGACACTTGAATTGGCGGTGGCCATATTGACCACAACGAATACAGGCCTGCCGTGAGTAACGGTCTCTCCACACGTCCTCAGTAAGATCCGCTTTCTCCCATGGAGGAGCATTGCCCACTTGGCTCCTAGACGGGGAGCCTCCGCGGCGTCTACCGGTCACCTTACCTTCTTGAGAAACGGCAGCGACTACTCCACCCTATGAAGCTTCTACGCTGCCCGCCTCTGAACCTACTCCCTCCTGGAAGTTGCCGTCTAACTCGATGGTTGAACCATCGTTGTCGACAAACATGATGCGACCCTTCGCCTTCCAGTTGGGAGGCAGTGTCTTTTTTCTCCCATCCGTAGTGGGTGCCTGTCCATGCCCTATCTTTGCTTCAAGGTCTAGGGCCACCTTGCTAAACGAAGGAAAGTTGTGCATGTTGATATTGGTCTCTTTTGCCAACTGGTTCCTGAGAGGCTGTGAAAAGCATCTCAAGTACGAAGTCAGCAGGACCTGGGGGTCACCCCTGGGACACAGATCAGACGCTAAACAGCGTCGGTGGCTTCCCTTAGTGACTTAAAGTGTCGTGTGTGCAGTGTCAGGATTGCATCAGTGGCCCTTTGTGCCTCCTGAGGATCATGCCACCTCTCTTCCACCATCTTCAGGAAGTCCTCCAGTTTTTGGGAGGCCGCCCAAGCGCGGAAGTCATGACCATGCCCAACTAAGCCACTCAACCATCTTGCTGCACTACCCTCTAGGTAGGAAGTAGCCACAAGCACTTCTTCGTGCGACAAGGTGAGTTTACACCTGACGTAGATCGACACTGCCCTCAACCATGTGTCAAGGTCTTTGCCTCTCTTGTCCCCTGTAAAAGGTTTGGGAGTGGTGATGGCCGTCTTTGGAACCCACTACGTTTGTCCCGGTCCCTGCATCACTCCGGGCTGTGGACCCGGTGACACAGGTTGCTGTGCTAGCTGTTGGGGCTGCGTTCCCTGAGGCTGCACAGGCTGCGAGACAGGAGGCTGCGTGGTGACAGCAACCTGCGATGGACTGGGAGTAAACACTGTCTGTACAGGAACCTGCAAACTACTCCCTGCTGTTACCCCTCCTAACAGCGGCATGCCCAGGGAAAGATAGGAACCGATGACCGGGCTACATATGGGGATACCCCTGTCACCGGTGGGACCGAAAAAGGAGGATATGGCACGGGCCAGGCACCAGGCCCGGCTGGTGATGGTGCTGCCTGAGCACGGCCTGCCAAAATGGCTAGGCTCTGTTGAATGTCCTGAAGGATTGTAGTTTGATGCTCCTGCATCTCTATAACGCCTAGCAGGGCCCTCCTCACTACCTTCACATCAGCATCCATATGCGTCAGGTCCATCAATTCTAACTCCTCTATATCTGCCCCTCTCCGTTGCATCCTGGCTCTTCTTCTGATCATCTTTTCCTTTTTCGCTTTTATCTCTCCTAATGCCCGTTGTAGTTGTGCCTCCTGCAGGGCTGCCTGCTGGATGGCAACATCCTCCGGAGTCAACACCGCGGCCTGGCTTGCCATAATGCCAATGGACTGACTCACGGTCTGCGGGACCGTTGACCCGACGGCACCTGAACTACCGGCTTCGGAAGTCTGTTGTGCAGACGTGACCATGGTTGTAGTAGCCATGGTTGCCGTAGCACCGGCCTCGCTAACTTAAGTTCTGCTGGCCTCGGCTGCTCTAGCCCGCCTCTGCTCCTGCTGTCTCTCCCTAAGCCGGCGGAACAAAATCCTATCACCCTCCGGTCCTAGGGACACGTGAGCTCTCGGGCCTCTAGCTGATCGCAAGATCCTGCGGTCGTCCTCTCCGATGTCCTCCTCGTCGCTCATAGGCTACAGCACTGTGCACTGTCTACACTAGATCATACGAGATGCCTACCGCAACATAGTGCACAGACCCACTAATTAGTGGGTGGCTATTTCGGAACAGATATCATTTGAGGTCAACAAGTAAGTCAGATTCCTACAACTGAAACTATTTTTAGTCTGACTAGTCCGCAAACAGAAGCACCAGGAACAATAAACAGTTCTAACTAATGTTCTCTGTCAGATGTCAATGGCAGTCCATCTAACTAATCAAAACATAAAAATAGAATCACTTGTGTGGATAGGACAGCATGGAATTTTCTCGAACTTATCACCTGGAATCAACCCCTCCCTTAGTTCCCCTGAGTATCTCTTGACGTCAGCGTCCCTGAGCGATCTGGAGAGCGTAGCGTGTCTAAAGGTGTGTGTGTCTGACCCACCCCTGTGCCCCGAGTATCCACTGAGTCGGCCAGCCTTGCACGTATATTTATCCTCGGCGTGCCGCGAGCCTTCCAACCATTGACTGATCCAGGGGCAATTTAACGTCCGCCCCGAAGTGACTCCAGGAATTATTTTACGTCGCAGCCGGACGACGATCACAGTCAATGGTTCCCCTTCCCTTGTTTATTTATAGACGCCGGGTGCTCGTCTTTCCTGTAGGGCTGGCCTGCCCAGTGGTACCCATCTAACAGCGCAACAAGCCGAACAAAGGACAAGCAGCTAGGCATGCGTGCTCTACTCCCTGTGGGTTGGCATGGTGACCATGACCCAGTGCTTCGTCCAGGGCCCTTCAGAAAGCTYCGCCCATCTCCACCCARATGCTCCAYGTGAACATTGYCGACTCTCAAGGTTGAGCGCACTCGACACYTCAYGATGAGAGGACTCTCAAGAAGGAACACACAACCTCACGGTAAGAAGTGTCGGAGAGGGAAGATAAGGTTAAGAGCAACGTACCTCATTTAGCTGCCCCCAACCACAGAGATAATCTCCCCAGATGACCAAATGGCGATTGCGATGACCAGTCACTTCATCGGCATAACCAGCATTATCTCGCCGTTCCACCTCAGCATCAATCGCACATTAGATAGTTCTCATCACACTGTCCAGACCACATTCACCTCACATAGCCTTCTTGGCGAGCCCCTCACCTCTTGGGTCGCCTTCACACTCGTCTCCACCCTCCTCACTACACACCACTTACGGCCAAACTCGCCCAGCAGACCGCATGTACGTACCGCATAAGGCAGAAGACAAGCGCCAGATGAGCGCAATCGTACCACAGCTCCGATACCAAATTGCAAGGAAGATGAGCAATAGCGAACTTCAGCAATCAAACAACATCATACATATGAGTCCAGATAGTCTTGACCTCGAAGCAACAAGAAAATTGCAACACGAGAACACACCAAGAGTTCATAATTGACAATGCTGAAATTGCCCCATCATCATCAACAAAGAACCAGAGTTGATATCCTATCTGGCGCTCGGCGCCCAGACTACATGTGGCAGATCCTATCTAGCCTATACTACGAAGCCGAAAGATGACATCAACA